CGCTGTCATCTTCATCTACTTCGCGGCGCTGTCACCTGCYGTCACCTTCGGAGGCTTGCTGGGTAAGGGGGGGACGGGCTGGGGACACGCCACGGGACGGGGCTGTCCCCCCAGCTGGGCAGGGAGCAGGAGGCCTCCACCTCCTTTATCACCATCCCGTGGGGATGCTCCCAGGGGGTTATGCACCCCCTAATCCCGGTGCCGAGGGGTGTGGGATGGGGGGCACAGCGCTGTGTCCCCCCCCCCGGCACTCACCGGCCCTGCTCCCTTTCAGGTGAGAAGACCAAGGGCATGATGGGGGTGTCGGAGCTGCTCATCTCCACCTGCGTGCAGTGTGTGCTCTTCAGCCTCCTCGGTGCCCAGCCCCTCCTTGTCATTGGATTCTCAGGACCCCTCCTCGTCTTCGAGGAAGCCTTCTATGGGGTGGGTATCCCCCGGTGCCTGTGGGTGCCCCCCACCCACCTCTGGCAGTCCCCACAGCGGGCTTGGGGTCTCCCCAGCAGCCCTGGGAGAGGCACAGGGAGCTGCTGTGGGGGGGTGGCACAGTGGGGGTAGCACAGCAGGGATGGCAGGGTGGGTGGCACAGGGAGGATGTCATGAGGGGATGTCCTGGGGGATGGCACAGGGGGAGTGCTGTATGTGGGACAGGGGTGATGGCACAGGGGTGATGGCATAGGATGATGGATGTCACGTGAGGGATGGCACAAGGAGGGTGTCCCATGCAGGATGGCACTGATGGGATGGCACTGGTGGGTGGCACGTACAGGATGGCACTGTGGGATGGCACATGGGGGATGTAGTGGGGGGGATGGCACATGCGGGATGGCACATGCAGGATAGCGCTGGTGGGGTGGCACATGGATGATGTACAGGGGTGATGTCACCTGTGTGACAGCCCAGGGGTGACACCACACAGGCAGAGCCATCCAGGTGATGGCCCAGGGGTGCTGCCAGGTGGGTGATCCCATGAGGGTCCTGCCACACTGAGGTGCCCCCATCCCCGTCCTGGGGAAGGATGTGTGGGGCCACTGTGGGATGCCGAGGTCCAGCCCCCCTCGGTGCCCATGCTGGGGGGCTCTGGGGGGCTGACAGGGCTGTGCCCTCTGCCTCCCCAGTTCTGCAGCAGCAATGGCTTGGAATACATCGTGGGCCGGGTCTGGATTGGCTTCTGGATGATCCTGCTGGTGCTGGTGGTGGTGGCCTTCGAGGGCAGTTTCCTGGTGCGCTTCCTGTCCCGCTACACCCAGGAGATCTTCTCCTTCCTCATCTCCCTCATTTTCATCTTTGAGACCTTCTCCAAGCTGGTCACGGTGAGGGGCACGGGGGGTCCCACAGTGGGGAAGGTGGGAGGGGGGCTGCAGGTTGTGGTTATCACCTGGGTTTCCATAGAAACAGTGGGATGCAGGTGAGGGACAGAGCCCATCTCCTGGTGTTTTCTCCCAGGAGATCTTCTCCTTCCTCATCTCCCTCATTTTCATCTTCGAGACCTTCTCCAAGCTGGTCACGGTGAGGGGCACGGGGGGTCCCACAGTGGGGAAGGTGGGAGGGGGGCTGCAGGCTGTGGTTATCACCTGGGTTTCCATAGAAACAGTGGGATGCAGGTGAGGGACAGAGCCCATCTCCTGGTGTTTTCTCCCCTTTTCCAGGTGTTTCCCAGCTCATGAGGTCCCTTCCAACCCTAACTGTTCTGTGGTTCATGCATCTCTCCGCAGGGGGATTTTGGGGTAGGGAGGTGAACCCCACATAGATGTCCCACCTGGGCTGCACCAAACATGGTCCTTGCCCAGCAACTGCCTGAAGAGCCCCAGTTCCTCCCCCCATCCCTGGCTTAGACCCCTCCAGGCTGCTTGGTTGCACTGGGATGGTGTCACCCCCTGCACTGGGTGCCCACAGGGACATTGCTGGTGCTGGGGAGGTGACAGGCAGGACATGTGGGTGTGTGTCATATCCAGGTGCCCCCGTGCACCCCACGACAAGCTCAGCACTGCCCTGAACACCCCGGGTGACCCACGCTCTGCAGTGGGGACACACTTGTCTGACCCCACCGTGCCACTGGCCTTGTTTCTGAAGAACCACAGAGAAAACCGACCCTAAATATCCCCCCTGCTCAGCACTTGCCGGGCTCCAGCCTCGCCCATCCCCCTGGCACACACCCTGCACCCACCAGGATGGTCCTGCAGGGCTCCCAGCATGGCAGGGGGGGTGCAGGGGGATCCCCCATCCCCATCCTCGCTCACTTCCTCCCCTTCCCTCCCCAGATTTTCAAGCAACACCCTCTGAAGCGGGACTACAACGTGAAGGATGACTTTGACCCCTCGGAGCCGGAGCCCAACACGGCCCTGCTGTCCCTCATCCTCATGGCTGGCACCTTCTTCCTGGCCTTCTTCCTCCGCAAGTTCAAGAACAGCGCCTTCCTGCCGGGCAAGGTGAGCACAGGGAGGACACGGTGCTGTCCCCCCTCCCCACTGCAAAACAGGGGCTCAGCGGCTGAGACCGGGCAAACTCATTGCCTGTTCCTGCAGAGGACAGGGTGGGGGAGAGCCCCTGGGCTGGGGGGTCACACAGAGGCTTTAATGTGGTCACCGTGTCCCCACAGGTCCGGCGCTTGATCGGGGACTTTGGGGTGCCCATTTCCATCTTCATCATGGCCCTGGCCGACTTCTTCATCAAGGACACGTACACACAGGTCCGTGAGGGCAGGGCTGGGGGGGGACAGGCACGGGGACGTGGAGCTGGGTGCTCATCCCTGTGTCCCACCCCCTCACTCCCCGCTTTGCTCCCATCCAGAAACTGAGCGTCCCTAAAGGGCTGGAGGTCACCAACTCGACCGCCCGGGGCTGGTTCATCAACCCCATGGGGCTGCACGAAAAATTCCCCATCTGGATGATGTTCGCCTCCGTGGTGCCCGCCCTCCTGGTCTTCATCCTCATCTTCCTCGAGACGCAGATCACCACGTGAGGATGGGGGATACGGGGAGGGGAGGGCTGCGGGGTGCCCGGTGGGACGGGCTGGAGGGGACCTCCCTGGGGTGCTGTGTCACCAACTCGTCCCCTGTGTCCCCGCAGCCTCATCGTCAGCAAGCCCGAGAGGAAGCTGGTGAAGGGCAGTGGCTTCCACCTGGACCTGCTGCTGATCGTGGCCATGGGGGGGCTGGCGGCCCTTTTCGGGATGCCCTGGCTCAGTGCCACCACCGTGCGCACCATCACCCACGCCAACGCCCTCACCGTCATGAGCAAGGCCTCCTCTCCCGGAGAGAAATCCCAGATCCTGGAGGTCAAGGAGCAGCGCATCAGCAGCTTGCTGGTGGCCGTGCTCATCGGTGAGCTGGGGAGGTGCCCCCCGCATGGCAGGTGAGGGTTGGAGGTCCCCCAGGAGCTCTCCCCAACCTCTCCTTCTCCACCGCAGGCGTCTCCATCCTCATGGAGCCCATCCTGAAGTACATCCCGCTGGCCGTGCTCTTTGGCATCTTCCTCTACATGGGGGTCACCTCCCTCTTTGGCATCCAGCTCTTCGACCGCATCCTGCTCCTGCTGATGCCCCCCAAGTACCACCCTGACGAGCCCTATGTCACCAGGGTGAGTGAGCCCTGTGTCACCCCCATGGGTGGCAGCGGGTTTGGGGGTGTCCTGTGCTGCAGCACCCCTGAAATCGCTTGAGGCTCCCCAAAGAGCCTCCTCCTCCCGTGCTGACCTTCACTGGGCTCTTCAGGCCACTGGTCCTGCCCCCACCCCAGCACCCACCACCCCAGGAAGGGTATGGGATGCTGTCCCTGACCTCAGTCCTGGGCTTCTCATCCCACAGGTGAAGACTTGGCGGATGCACCTCTTCACCTTCACCCAGATCATCGTCCTTGTGCTGCTGTGGGTGGTGAAGTCCACCCCGGCCTCGCTGGCGCTGCCCTTCGTCCTCATCCTCACCGTGCCCCTGCGGCGCTTCCTGCTCCCCAGGATCTTCCAGGACATCGAGCTCAAATGTGTACGTAGCCCCAGCACATCCTGGGAGCCACCTCTGTGCTGTCCCTGTCCCTGTGCTGGTTCTGGTGTCCATCCCCATCCCTGTCCCCATCCTCATCTCCATATGTATCCCCATCACTGTCTCCAGCCCCATCTTTGTGTCTGCTCATGTCCCCGTCCTCATCACCATCCCTGTCCCCATCCCCTGCCTCATTCTCATTCCTGTCTCCATCCTCATCTCCATCTGTGTTCTCATCTCCATCCGTCCCCAGCTTCATCTCTGTCCCTGCCCCTGTCCCCTCATCCCCATAATCCTTATCCTTGTCTCACTCCTGTCCCCATCCCCATCTGTGTACACACTCTCATTCCTGTCTCCATCCCTGTCCTCATCTGCATCCCTCATTCCCACCCTTGTCCCCATCCTCACCCTGTCCTTGTCCCATTCCTGTCCCCATCCCCATCCCTGTCCCCAGACTCATCCCTGACCCTATTCCCATACCCATCCCAGCCCCTACCTTGTTCCATCCCTGACACTGTCCCTGTCCTCAGTCCTACCCCCAATCCTGACCCCTCCCCATCCTCATCCTTTTCTCCAACCCTGACCCCATGCCCTCTCTGTCCCCATTCCCATCCTTCTCTCCACCCATGTCCCCATCTCTACCACTGTCCCCTTCCTTATATTCATCCCTATCCCCATTCCCTGTCCCTATTCCCCTCCCCTGTCCCTATCCCACTCCTCATCTCCATCCCTGTTCCCATTCCCTGGCCCTATCCCCGTCCCTCTCCTGATCTCCCTCCCTATCCCCATCCCCTGTCCCTATTCCCCTCCCCTGTCCCCATCCCACTCCTCATCTCCATCCCTGTTCCCATTCCCTGGCCCTATTCCCATCCCCTGTCCATATCCCATTCCTGATCTCCATCCCTATCCCCATCCCCTGTCCATATCCCACTCCTCATCTCCATCCCTATCCCCATCCCCTGTCCCCATTCCCATCCCCTGTCCCTATTCCCCTCCCCTGTCCATATCCCACTCCTGATCTCCACCCCTGTCCCCATCCCCTGTCCCTATTCCTCTCCCCTGTCCATATCCCACTCCTGATCTCCCTCCCTATCCCCTCCCCTGTCCCTATTCCCCTCCCCTGTCCATATCCCACTCCTGAACTCCACCCCATCCCCATCCCTGTCCCCCTCACTCCCTCTCCTCTCTCCAGCTGGACGCCGATGACGCCGTGGTGACCTTCGAGGAGGAGGAGGGGACAGACGTGTACAACGAGGTGCAGATGCCCAGTTAAGGGCTGGAACCCCCAGCCCCCAACGCCCCCCCAGCCCCCCCATGCTTCTGTCATCACTGCTGCCACCCCGGGGCCGCTGGGCGACGGAGGAGGATTTGGGGACACTGTCCCCACCTGCACGCCCCGGGAATGGAAATATTTTTTAGTTGTTTTTCCCTTTTTTTTTGGTCTATTTTTAACAATATTTTGGATGGTGTGATCTCACCCACACTCTGCTGCCTGCTGGGGAAGGGGCTGCCCGGGCTCGGGGGGGGGTCCACGAGCCACCCCCAACCCCGTGGCAAGGTGGGATGTGTCACCATCCCATCCCCGAGGCCACCAGCGGGCACTGGGCACGGGAAGGAGCTGGAGGAAGCTCCCAGCCCCCGGGGACACCCCCAGCCTGGCTCCTCTTCCCCGGATGAACATTCCAGCGAGCTGGGAAAGACCCTTCACCCCACGGAGCCCTTCTCCCACTTTCTCCATCGTTTGCTCCAGTGGGATCATCCCAGCTGCTCCGCTGAGCTTCCAGCACCTCCCAGAGTGGGGATGTAAATAGTCCAGTGAGGGAGTTTACATATTTAGAATGAAAATAATCACGCTAAAAACAGCCAAAAAATTACTTATAATTATGCCGATGCTTCCGCAGGTAGGATTCACTCACAGCCAAGCAAAAATTCCCCAAAAAAAAGGATGAAAAAGCACCTTAAAAATGAAAAAAATTGAGGAAAAATAGGAAAAAAAAAAAAAAGCAGCTGCAAGGAGTGATCTGTATATTTGATGCTACTGGGGGGGTTTGTAATTTATTTTTAGGGCTGGTTGTGCCCCTGCTGCAGCAGGGCCGTGTGTGTGTGTGTATATACTAGAGAATTATATCAAAATTCAGAATTTTCTATAAAAGATGATTTTTAAGGATCCTGGTCAGGGCCTAAACTCTAAGGACCAGTCTGTCAGTCTCACTCCATTCATGAATTAGTGTTAGTTAGTTAATTAGTCCTCTTTATTTTTATAGCATTCCGGGTAAATCTGTGTAGTTTTTCCTCAATTTTTCCCTTGCTTGCTGACCATGTCTTGCCCTGTTTCTGCTGGGATTGCTCCCAGTCCAGCTGAGCATCCCCCTGATCCTGCCAAGGCTCGTTCTGCCCTGATCACCCTGAAGGACTGGATCCAGCCGGGGCACAGAACACCAGATCAGGCTCAAAATTTGCTCATTTTTGCTCATTTTTGACCCCAAAATCAGCAGGGGGTGGGTGGGAGAGTAGGGGGGTGGGAGTGGGTGGCCACACCCGGGGCCTTGTGTTTGGGGTTGGTTTAGTTTTATTAATTATATGTCTGAAATGAAGAAATGTTTCGATCTTTGGGGTCTCCTCCTTCCCTTCCCCCTACCTCTGTATCAGGCTTTAATAAAGAAATTAATAAAATCAGAAAGGAAATGGGGTTTTTCTTTCCAGCTGGCAATTTTCTGGTGCACTGCCTTGTTTAATTCCCCCCAAAAAGGAGTAGCAGCAGCCTTTGGAGGTGTCCATCCCCCTGGAATGGGCAGTGAAGTTGCACCAAGATGCTTGTCATGGCATCCCAGGATGCTCACTGTATCCTGGAATGCTCCATATGGTCATCCCAGGATGCTCCCTGCATCCCAACATCCTGGCGTGCTCCCTGCAGTCATTCTGGGATGCTCCCAATGGTCATCCCAGGGTGCTCCTCACAGCATCCTGGCATCCTGGAGTGCTCATTAGAGCCATCCCGGGATTCTCCCCATAGTCATTCCAGGATACTTGCTGCATCCCAGCATTCCAGGATGCATCCCCAAGTCATCCCATGAAGCTCCCTGCAGCCATTCTGGGATGCTCCCCGTGGTCATCCCAGGATCCTTCCCACAGACATCCCTGGACGTTCCCTGCAGCCATCCAGAATGTTCCCTGTGGCCATCCCAGGATGCTCCCCAGAGTCACTCTGGGTTGCTCACTGTAGCCATCCCAGGATGTCAGGGAATCTAAGGGATTCCTGTGGCCATCCTGGGATGATGCTCAGGCCCCCTCATCCCCCCAACACCCCAGGGTGCTGCCCCACTGCCACACGGCCTTGGCTGTCCCTGCTCCAGGGGGATTGGGAACATCCTGATCCAGGGCTACTGGCACAGGGAGCAGAGCAGCCCCTGCCCCTCCCCCAGCCCCTGGCACTGGATTGACCCCGATTATCCATAATCCCATTAACGAACAGGAGACACGGGCTCCGTGAGCGGGGCCGTGGGAAGGGCTGTGCCTGTTCACCCCCAGCCCTCCCATGGGGCAGGAATCGGGATCAGCATCCTCGATCGCTCCGAACCAGGACCCCAAACTCTTTCCATGGGGCTGGGATAAACCCCAGTGTGGCCACCAGCTTTTCCCAAGCCTGGCATAGCTGCTACCCCGTTTTCCAGAGATGGAGGCGTGTGGCTGGTGTTTTCCAGCCCAAGGCCTGCGGATCCAGCAGCTTCCCTTCCCTGTGTCGGCCTCACATGGACAAGACATGCCAGGTGCCATCCAGAGGCCATCCCTGCCTCCAAATCCCAGTGAAGGAGGACAGCATCTGCCTGCACCCATCCCTCTTGTTTTCCACCCTGGGAAGTTTGTTATTCCCTGGGAGATGGCAGCGAGGTCACTGCCGCGGGATCCAGCCCGGTTTGGGGTTGGGAATTTAGGTCAAGCTCTTCTTTGAACTTGCCTCAGCTCAGGGAAATGGAGGGAGGGGGAATTAGAGATGGGAGTAGAGTAATGAGGGGGAAATAAATGCTAATTAATTGGTTGCTAATGAGGAGGGGGAAGCATGGAGCTCCAGAGGGGGATCACATTGGAGCATCACCCCTGGAAGGGGAGAGCCACATTGCCAGCAGCATCACAGAGTGCTCCATGCCATCCATGGACAGGGGACATGGGACACCCCGGGATCTCCTGGAGGTGTCCAGTGGGACATTGTCACTGTTTGTGCACAGAAAAAGTGGAAAACCAAATAAAACTCTCCAAAACCTGCAGCTGCACCCAAAAAAACACTCACTGATACAAATAACAGCGAATAGAAAATTCCCATGTTGGAAGTGAGGCTTGGGAAGGCCATGGAGTGAGGGGAGGGGTGGGGATGAAGATTTGGGGGTTCCCCACTCCCAGCCCACCTGCTGCAGGGTCTGTGGTTGATTCCCAGGGTTCTGGTGTCCCTTCCCTTGACAAAAGCCACAAAACCACGTTGGGGGGATCGGGCCTGGAGCACACTGACACTCCAAAAATGGCTTTTTGCTTAAAAAAAAAAAAAGAAATTAAAAAATATAAAGCGTCAACTTTCATGTATTTAACCCAATTGTCCCTATTTTCTTTGTTTACATTGTTTTTTTTTCCTTTTGCGATTTTTCCCTCCTGCAAAGCAGTGACAATTCCCACAATTCGGGGATCCAGCCCAGCCCAGGCCCTTTTCCCCGCTGAATAAATACATATATTTTTATTTTTAAGCTCTCGCAGGAGGGATTAACCGCCCGGCGCCGGAGCTGCCCGGCCTGGCTTGGCACAGCCCGGAGCAGGACGTGGCAGAGGATCCGGCTGTCCCTCTGTCTGGCTGATCCTTCCCTTCGGGATAAAGCCCAAATAAGCCACATGCACAGCCAGGCACCACCCCCGCACCCCCAAATCAGCT